AATCTTCATTTTGTGCTTCAATGCCAAGCTACCCTGCAGCACCCACAGAGCCTTACCCAGCACAAGAGCTTCCTAAACTTTCTTACATCGAGCTGGAGGAGCCCTACTGTGCCTTGCTGGGCTGCAGGAAAAGCTGGGCACTGACAGGGATGCAGGAGGTAGGGACTAAAGCACCTTCCCACACGGTTTCCAGTGAGATCTGCTTTGGGTGAGTCCAAGGTTATCAAACTTATCTTTGAATCAGGATCGTATTGGCATGCACTAGAAATGATCTGAAACCATTGTGGCCATAGCTGGGACTGCCTGCTAAACTTGAAGCAAAATATTTATACAGTTTCACTCCCTGGCAACCTCCATTGCAGGTGTATTCTGAAGTAAAGCATGAGAGCATCAGCCACCCTTACAGACGTTCAGCATGGAAATTGCTTGGACACTTAGCTTTAGGCCTTGACTCCTGTAACATTGCTCACAGAATATGAAAGTCATGCTTGGCCACTCAAGTGGAAAGCTCATAAAGGCTCACTTCTCAAGGTCTCAAAAGGCCTTGCTTTTACGGTCTCTTATTTGGGCCAAGCATGAACGTACCCAGTCAGCAGGCATGGCACGGTAGCTGAGCCTTGCATGAAGAAGCACGGGTACATGTGACTGAACCAAGCGAAAGATGGTTCACTAAGAAAAGCTTACTTCAAAAAAAGCCACAATCAAGAAGGTCCTACTGCAAATGCACCTTTGATCAGTTTTCAAGGAGGTTGTGAATATTCTTTCACAAATCTAAAATGCCCTAAAAATTCCAGTTTTAATTTCTAGGTTTTATTATTAAATGAAGGAGAAGAATAAAGGAAAGCAGTGTAATTAGATGAATGTGCACACAACAACTGGCAGGGAGGAATTTGTTTCTGTTTTAATCAATTCAGCATCAAATGACCATTTCCTTGGAATACCTTCAGAGAAGCAAACAGGTAGCAAACACAGGGATTTGACAACACAGCAATCTGCTGATTGTCACTTGGATATTCATAAGGAACAAATCTCTCCCACCTTTAGATTTTATATAATTTGTTATAAGAAGTCATAAATAATTGAAAGTCACGTGATAAATTATTCAGCTAAGCGCACAGTTTCCAAAGAATCCTAGCATGAGTCTGGATTAAAGCTATAATGCAAGTCAGATGCAACATTTGAGCTGACACCCCACAGTGGAGCAGTCCAGGGAGTTTGGCACTTGCCAGTGTGTCCTTTCCTCCACAGGGACACATAAATACCATGTGAATATTTATGAGCTAGAAGTCCCTATTGCCTACTGTGTACTTCAGCTGCTTGCCCATACATGGTTATGAATCAGTGACACTTAACCCAGAGCTTCCCTTGGCATAATTGATTAGGACGTTCATTTTCTTCAAATGATGGCACTGTCCCTCAAGACTACTGCTGAACTTATGTCTGCTGTAAAAAACTTTGTCTTTAACCAGAATTACCTGTTATCATTAACTGAGAAGATATTCAGGTGGACTAGCATAGAAGTGACTGCAGGAATATTATTTAGTTATAAAAATGCTGGTAAATCCTGATTCTTTCTTTATATAAGCCAAGTTATCTGCTCTGGGTAGGTCTAGGTCCATAATGTCCAGGAACAAATAAATATCAAGTAATCCACAAACTAAGACATCCTGTGTAAACTGGAACTAAGAAGTTCACTTTTGTACAGATGTGTCTCTGGTGCTTAACTGACTTCAGGATTTAAGATATGAATTCTGATTCTTGTTTCTTCCAAAAGAAGAGGGGAAATTGATAATCTCTCTCCTGTATAGATTGTTTAGTACATAAAAAGCTTTGTTCATAGTGAAGAACCTCCCAGGTTCTGACCTTTCTGAGGGCATTATTTTTGTTCTCTGCTGCTTTCACATAAATTGCAGGGACCTCTATCTGAGATATTTAACCCTGTCATACTCAATGAGAATCATATAACAGGATCAAAAGTTCTTGCACCAGAAAATAGAATGTACAAAAAAATCCCAAACAAACAAACACAAAAAAACAAACTAAACAAACAAATTTAAAAAAACACAAAACAACCCATACCACCAGTTAGGAAGTTAAAGCAACAGGCAAAGAATGTGTCATACAATGCAACACTCAACACTTAAAAGGGACTTATAGTAAGGGACCTACATATGCTACTATACTTGTGGTATTTCATAACCTTATTGTTTATAGGGTAGGCAAGTCAACCATATCATACTGATCTAGTATGATCTGAGAAGTCAATAGTCCTGATCTCATCCATACAAAGAACTGGAGAGAAGCATGAAGCTGGCATGTACTTCTTAGAAAGACAGGCACTGCTGGCCTGAGCAGCCCTGAAAGTTTTATGTGAAATAAATCTGTTAGTTTGAGGTATGCCCCAAACAAACAACTCTCTCTCCTTCCCAGCTGAAGCGGCTCTGTATGTAACACTTCACTCACTCCAGGTGTGATCCTTGAGAGGTAACAAAATACAAAGCACAACCTAAAACTGCTTCTAGAATCATACAGAAGTTTTGCTGAGCATACTTGAAATTACACTGTTAGTCTCTGCATTAACTCATTCTGTAGACATTGCACTAATGGAAAATCAAGAAAAATATCCCTGAACAGTTTCTGTATCAATATGTCACTTTTCTTGGGAGTTTGTATTCCTATGATTTAGTCCTATGTTTTTTCGTAGTGCTTTAGACTATAGCAGTTTTCAGGAAATTATCTGTGGTTGAGTTTACACTGTACATAATGTTTGTCTCAGCACGTTCTATATCACACAGAATCACAGAATGACTAGGCTGAAGAGACCTTCAAGATCATTGAGTCTAACCCATGCCCTAACACCTCAACTAAACCGTGGCACCAAGTGCCACATCCAATCTTTTAAATACATCCAGAGATCATGACCCCACCACCTCCCTGGGCAGACCATTCCAGTACTCTATCACTCTTTCCATAAAAAACTTTTTTCTAACATCCAACCTATATTTCCCTTGGCACAGCTTAAGACTCTGTCCTTTCATTTTGTAAAATCATCTCCAAAACAATAAAAATAGAATTCTAATTCTGCTGAGGTCACAGTTGTGTTATTTGTGTTTTTTTTCTGTCAAAGTGCCTTTAGAGCTGTATTAAGATTATTCTTTTTAACCACGTAAATTTTCATTCAAAAAATATATATAACACAATCAGCAACCAGTACAGTTCCATATGAGATTATCTGAAAGCAGTATAGAGAATGTGACTTCTAGCATATTTTACCACCCTAAGAAACCAGTATTTCTAAATCCTACACTCAATATCACTATGCTACCTGTGTTTTCATGCTCACCTGGGACAGTATTTTTGTCATCCATTAGCATATAAGTGGTAGATATTTATATATAGATATTTAGGGGGATCCCCTCCTCGATCCACGCTTGAGGCATGGAAGGAATGAACTGTGATAGGCAAGCACCACCTCGTGATGGAAGGCTTAAATACAGCATTGCACATCTCAGAGCATTTGGGCTGGTTAAATACTGGTGTATTTCTATTGTACTGTGGTCACAAAGACTGAAAAAAACACTTAAAATAAAACCAAAAATATGTCATTTGATATTCAGTCTCTGTCCTGAAGATAGCAGAGGATGCACTCAGGCTCATCCCTAACAAAATGCAGGCATGAAATGCTGCAGGTAGTGAATGCTGGTTCAAGGTGCTCACTCATAATTCTTCAGAAAAAAAATTAAAATAGCCACTTAAAAGCTTAAGGCATGTTCCTTGTTTTTGAGGTTTGGCAGGTTGTGCTACAGCAGCAAATATGTGAGACCCACATTTCACTGTACTGTTAATATTCCAAGAATTAGCTTAGTAACATCTGAATTCTGAAGCATCTTAGAAGCTCAGGTAGTTCCTGTCACCCCATGTGCATGATAGACTATCTTAATATAAAAATAAAATTAAAAGTACTCTTTATTGCTTTTAATGAAATATTTCATTAAAGAACACTTTTTTGAGAAAAGTGTAGCTAAGGCAATGAGAGAGTCAAAACTGTTTAAGCAATGTGGAAAAAACTAAGAGATTAGTGGACCCTAACCCTAATTCAAGGTCCTGAGAAACTGTCAATTGATGTAGAAAGCAAGCAATCCAATTATGTCTTGGTTGCACACTCATTAAAGCAATATTGCCAATAATGTGCCGCCATAAGTAGCAAAAGTGAGTCACATATGAATCAGAAAAAGTGCTTTAATCATTTAAGTGCTCAATGTGTCCATCAGTAAGGACCAATAGAACCCCCATTTAAAGGGATTATGTATTTCTGGCTGAGGAGCAATTTGATTAGATGTTTCTGACTTTAGACAAAGAGCCTTACAAATATTTTTGGATAAAACAAAAATATTTATAGTTAAATTTCACTTGGTGTAAGTATTAAAGTAGACTAACATGGTTCTACACAACTGGAAGTCCAGCCACAAACCCACATACAGGAATGTCAACACTGAAAATGTTCTTTTGTCATTGTGGCTTCAGAATCCCAAAGGGTTTATCAGTAAAACTGATGAGAGTTCTCCAAATTCAGGCAAGCTAAAAAAAAAAAATCAAGTTTTGCTGGCAATTTAAAAAAAAAAAAAGCAAACCTCCTACCAGTTAGGTATACAGCAACTAGAAAGGTGTTTACTGGAATTTCTGTAACTCTTCCTTCTCAGGTTTCATTTAGAAAACTCAGTTATAAAAATTTGGTCATCAATACTGTACAGTTTTGGTTTTTTTGAGACCCTCCAATAATCTGAATCTTTACAGTAACATAGAATCAATTCCTGAAGGCATCCAGTTAAATGTTATCAAAAAAAGTCTGTTTCTACCTTAGATCCTCACTAAAGTTAGACAGTTAAGATTGCAACATAACACCAAACTGAGAGATGAGACACAAATACAAATAAAATATCTACAATGCAAGAAATATCTTCCCAACATTTTTATTTAAAGCATGTGAAGGGTTTACTTACAATTCTTTTCCTTGTTTTGCTTTTCTGTCATTAACCAAATACACACTTCCAAAGCTTCCATTACCAAGTTTCTTCTGAATAGTGTATCTTCTGGCAATCACAGCATCTGAGCAAGCAGAATTAAATCTGGCAACAGTGACATGCTTAGCAGTTTCTTGAAATTTCAGCATTTCTCTGTGCAAAAAAAATGACACAAATTTCTCAAGGATGTAACTTTCAAATCCTTTTATTCTTCCATGGATGTTCACAGAAATCTCTTCAAACAGAAATATATTGATTTATCAATGTATTATTCTTATTAAACTTCTCATTTAATTCTGTGGCAGTATTTACAGCATCCAGCTTGCAGCAAACACAAATTAAGTGGAATCATTAGCTGTTAAACTGCAGGCAGCAGACTTGATAAACAAACTCCAGATAATGTAGATGTGACATAGTCAGTCTTTCTCTAAATCAACCCTAAATTAATTCACTGAACTGATAGCACAGTTCGCCTAGATATGGCACTCTTCCTCACCACCTGTCTTTATACCACCGCAGTACCTGACACCAAAAGTATCTGCATTTCAAGATACTAAATTCAAGATTTTTGTACATATTGAAGCATAACCTCCACCCATAATTTCTTTCCCATCTCTGTTTTCTCTGCTCTTTCATTTACCCCTCAGATTTCACCATCTGTTCCAGTGCTGACCTCACAGCTCTTCTGTGACTCACTACTAGTATCTTCTGCAAATTAGTTTCACAGAAAATCTGCAAGACTTTCAATAAAACCCAACTCTCCTTAAAGCTCATTTCTCTTTCACTGTATTCTTCCATGACTCACCTTTCCAACAAGTTAGCTTTGGTCGGGAATTCTTGTCTAACTGAGGTTCTAATTCTGCAAACAAAAGGTCTGCAAAGGCCAAGCTCTAGCATTTCTATGCTTTTTGTTTTTATGTTTCCAACAGCTCAACATGAGTTTAGAGTAACTTTGTTTACCCAGCCTTCCTCATTCCAAATGAAAAAGGGGAGGTGTTTCACTGCACATAATAAAACAATACTGCTTCTATTACTTTGTCTTTATATAATGCTACGTGCATCATTTTGCATGAAGATCTTTTGGAGCAAGTAAAGGTCTTGCAAGGTCATTGCTACTATTGTCACCATCCGTCAGCACTGCAGAGCAGCAGGCCCACATTGGCCTTGTTCACATTATTTCAAGGCCAAGGCAAGCACATAAACAGGATTTTCATTGTGGTGGTGGTGGTTTTGGATGAGCAAAGACAAACTGCCTAATTTTAAAAGCCGTATAACTTTAGGTTCCAAGTCATTGGCTTCTCTTCCAAATGAATGCAGAGCCTAAACTAAGATTACAGATTTGTATCTTGCAACAACAAACTCTGTTTGTGTGTGTGTGTTTGTGTGAGGCACAAGAACCTCTTCTCATACCCATCTGCTGAGCTGCTGTCACACTACACCAAAAAGCCTGTCACCATGTTAAACAGATAAACTTTAATTACTACAAGACATCTTAATAATACAAATCCTGCATGTTTCTTAAACTGCAGCACTCCTAACACTGTTTGGTTTTTCTCTTTCAGCAACACTGACAAAAATTTTGAAATGCCAGTGCTAAGGAAATAATGCCAGCTAGAAAATTATTTCTCTGTAACTCCAAATCTGTCTGAAGGAGCCCAAATGGATGATGTTGAGGTGTAGAGGAGTGGAGGGCAGAATGATGAACTCCACAAAATATTATACTGCCAATTCTATAAAGTTTATGCAATTTTCATTCACTGTTCTATTCTCCTAATTTCTGTTTTATGCATGCCTTCATAAATTCCTTTAAAAAAAGTGCTAAGCCATCTATACCTATTTTTCTTCATTCTGAAGTCAACACAGCTCACCTTCAAATTTTCATACTTTCTTGGGCCTACCTAGGAATGTATGACAATCCTTTAGACCACAAAACCATGCTTAAGATCAAGTAGCTCACCGAGTTTAACTTCTTTGCTTTATTTCTAATAATACCACCCACCTTTAACTCTCTATGCTTCAAATTCCCTCCCTACATAATAATAGTAATAATTATCACGTAACTTTGTGAAATGCTTTAGCATTCAGCACTCTTCAGGCTACTGCTTAAGAGTCTTATAAGGCAGGGGGCAGTGATTGCCATTGTGGCATCACAGGTGCATTTTAATGGAACAGAAGAGGTGAATTGCTGGCACTGCATCTGAAAGAAATGCCTTTTAAGAGCCAACAGAACTTAAATATTGACTCAAACACAAGACTGATGGATTCTTCAAGAGTATATGAAGTACAGGCTCTCCAACCTCACTCAAACCTTTAGCCCAACCTTCCTTATGTTCCTTCTGCACCAGTGTCCATCTCCCACTGAACAGCTGTTTCCCAAGCAGCAATATCAATTACTTCATTAACATTCAAAACAGCTGAACACAAAGCAATCAAGTCTGCAGCTCTCTTTTCCTAAAAAATAATCTCAGTATACCCTATCCAGTACCTTTGGGAAGGAGTTTCCTTTGTCCCATCCACCATTCCCAAGTCCCATCCCAGAGCCAGGCAGCTGGCTGCTGCTAACTCAATGCAATTACATTGTCTGGATCACTATTTTTAATATTTTTTTTTTTTCCTTGGCTAGAGTCAAATCTTTTTTGTGCTGCAAACTAAAGGAACGTTGCTGGTTAGTGTTTCATAGATCCACCTACATATGGGAAGCGCAAACCACCTCAACTTCTTTCCTGACCTTTATTAGTTTCTGTAAGAAAAATTAACCTTCAGGTTTCTTTAGCAACAGCTGAGATACTCTGACATTTTCGGCTTCCAAGATAATCCCTTCTTTGCCAATCAAGGCCGTTTTCCAATTTTATCAGGTGTTTTTTAACATTTGCCAGCCTCCACCCCCTGCAGCACAAATTCTAAAGTCTTTATATTTAGCTTTAAGTATCTTCAGTATTTACTACCTTGATATTGTTCCTGACGATGACTTCACTGGCCCACTCCTTCAAATGTTTTGACAATTCAAAAAATGAGATTTTCCTTGTTTTTTCCTTAATGGGGGGAAAAAAACCCAAAAAAACAAACAAACAACTTTTTAACGCTGGCTCCATTATTATTTTCTGCAACATCTTTAGAAACTTACCCAAGACTGAAGTGACATCATGTCACTTAGCTCGGTTTTTTACTGTTCCTAGAGAAATGATAACTACATTTTATTATTAGCGCTGGAGGCAAAGTAACTTGAGGGTGACGGTAAAACGGGGTCAAATGTACTCGACTATCAAATGTAGTATCTCCCCGAGGCACACTCGGGAAGCCCAGATCCCCTAGGATAACCTCAACGATGTTATTACCTTGTTACAAGACCGTGTAAGACCCAAAACACAAGTTAGCACCCACATTCCACCACAGCAAGGGGCGAGGGCGGCGTCCCCGTTCCGGAGGGCTGCGGGACTCCCCGGGAGCCGGCTGTGCCACGCGTCCCCGCCGCTTCCCACCGGGCTCGCGGCGCTCCCGGGGGGCTCGCGGCGCTCCCGGCCCGGCCCGCGCTGTTGGCGGCCCCGTCGCCAGGAGACGGCGCGCGCGCGCCCGGGAGCCGGGGGGCGGGAGGAGCAAGAGGAAGCGGATCCGGGATCGGAGGGGTGCGCGTGTCACTGCCGGCACCGCTTCCGGCGCCATGGGCGTGCAGGGGCTCACGGGCTTCGTCGAGGAGCGCGGGGTGTTCTTCACCGAGCTGCGGGTGCGGGATACCAAGCTGGTCATCGACGGCAGCAGCCTCTACCACCGCCTCTGCTTGGCTCCCGACGCCGACTTCCGACGCGGCGGCGACTACGGCGCCTTCGCCGCGGCCGTGCGCGACTTCTTCGGCGTCCTGCGGGCCTGCGGCGTCGCGCCCTTCGTGGTGCTGGACGGCGGGCGCGGCGCCGAGGACAGGAAGCTGCCCACTCTGCGGGGCCGCGCCGCCGAGCAGCTGCGGGCGGCCCACGGGCTGTCCCGGGGCGCCGGCGGCTGCCTGGTGCCGCTACTGACCCGCGAGGCCTTCGTGCAGGCGCTGGGCCGGCTCGCCGTGCCCTTCGTGCAGTGCTTCGCCGAGGCCGACCGGGAGATCGCCGGGCTGGCCAACCGCTGGGGCTGCCCTGTCCTCTCCCTAGACAGCGACTTCTTCGTGTTCGACCTGGCGGGCGGGTACTGCCCGCTGTCCCACTTCCAGTGGCAGAGCGTGCGCGCCGCCGCCGGGCCGCAGGGATGCTACGTGCCCGCGCGCTGCTTCTCCGCCGAGAGGTTCTGCGGGCACTTCGGGCACCTGAGCAAGGCGCTGCTCCCGCTCTTTGCCGTCATGAACGGGAACGACTACATCGGCCTGGGAGCGCTGGAGGCGTTCTTCAGCAAGGTGCGCCTGCCGAGGGGCTGCGCGGCGGGACGGGGCGGGAAGCACCTCCGTCTCCAGGGACTGCTGAATTGGCTGGCGCAGTTCGCGGAGCCCGCCGAGGCCGTCGACAACGTGCTGAAATACCTCAAGAAACATCAGAGGGAAGAAATACGGGAGCTTCTGTGCACTTCAATGGAGGATTATGCTCCGTCTGACGTGAATCTTGAGGACTTCTTTCAGAATGGGAGCTATGAGTGCGAGGCTGCCAGGAAAGCAGACGTACCACAGTGGGTACTCGATGCTTTGGCAAAAGGTAAGCTGGCCCCATTCGTCATCAATGCCCTGATACTTAGAAGCACCTTCCTCCGCGTTCAGGTGGAGAACATGCAGAGACCCAGTGCTCACAGCACAGCTTTGCCCATCCGACAAGTTATCTATGGACTGCTGCTGAGAGTATCTCACAGTACCGAAGATGATTCTCCAAGTAAGCAGACCAACGAGCTGCCCACTGTATGTGAATTTGACAGATGCCAAAAGACACTTAAAAAAACATTTGTTCAAGCAGCAAGCCTACCCCCAGATTTTTGTGATGATCGTTTTCCTTTGGACAAGTTAATGGAGGTAAATGGTTGTCAGGACAGATCACAGTAACAGTGTTCCACGAGTGACACAAAAATAGTTGGGACTCACTTTTGCCATCTGGCCACTAAATGTGATGTCTGAACTAAGCCACCTCAGTAAGTAACTACTTAACACAGAAGTATCTGTGATACTTAAGAAATTATACCAGGTTGTCTTCATCTCCCTTCCTGTCCCCCTCCAAGAGTACGAAAACAAATTATATGAGTTGTAGTGCAGATATATGCAATACTCCCTGCATTTTCCATTAGAAGCCCCTATTTCATCCTCCGTATTTTCTATTCAGTTTCATGTAGTTTAGGAAAGTCCAATTTTAACATTACAAAATCTAATTTGTATTTGATCAAGCTGAGGAATGTTTCAGAGCAGTGTTCCGAAACAAAATCTGATCTATGCCTTTTTACTAGAAGTCAGTATTCCACGTGTGAATGTTGCAGCTGCCCAGCAGTTTTACCTGTCCCAAGTATGCTCCTGCTAACATGAACCTCTGATGCTTGCCAGACAGAGCAGAACAGCACCTGAAAAACACCTGAAAATCACAGGAAAGTTGTACTAGGTTAGTTCCAGTTGTAGCAGTTCTGTGTAAATTCTAACGTTTAAGACTGTAACTGTTGCCATAATGGGAAGTAGTCTCCCATTCTCGATGCTGCAAAACTGAGGTTATGTATGCAGAAATTTCTGCGACGTCTAGAAATACAATCTGTGTGTTTTAATTCGACATTTTTCATAGCTCTATCCGTTCTGGCGTTCAGATTGACTGTTAACACATCTTTGTGTGTGGACAATGCTGAATGTTTTTATCACTTGCTGGTGGCTCCTTCGTAAAGGAACCAAGTCTATCAGTTAGCAGTTAGTCTGTCTTAACTGCTACACCGTTAAATGCTACAATACTGTTGGTCCAAAGTACAGATTACTTTACATAGGTTATTGGCACACGCCTTTTAAACGATACAAAACACGAGTTTGAAAAATCAAGTTTCATGTTCAGAGACATTAATGACACCTTACTTCAACCTTGGTGTGTCTGCTGTTCGTTTAATGAATTTGAGCTTTGCTACTACAATTTTCCTTAGTGAATATATGGGAATTATCAATTGAACAAAAGGTTAGAAGAAGAACTAAATGTTGTTCAGCATTTAAAGTGCTCCAGGCAAAACTGACTTCTGCCTAAGAGCAGGCAAAACAATCCTAATCAAGGTTTACAAAGTGCGCAGATTGCATCTGAGCAGCCTGCTGTAATTCTGCATGCATGAAGTTATGGACAAAGTTTTTAACACCACTTCGTGGAAGTTAAATGGCTCAGCAAAAAGAGAACATGTGCTAAGAATTAATTACTCATTAGTTACTTTTGTCTTTCTACCTGATATTTAACTATGTCATTTTTAAAGTTTTAAGTAGTATTTAAAAAAATATTTCCTATTCAGAATACCTGTGAAAATTAAATAATTGTTTGTCAAAAACCTAAAGTAGTAACTAATTTAACCAGAACTTACTGGCCTTTTAGAAATTGCTCACAACAAGTAAATCTCTTACCTTCAGTTTTTAAATTTATTTTCAGGTGCCTGTGTTGTGCCGCCAGATGCTTTTGCTGGAGACTCTGGGAGTGAAAATGAGTTTTCTAGAACCTATCCCAAGACATTTACAACTCCCTATTGCTGTAACATGTTACTGGATATGTTGTTCAGAACCAAAAGTTAAGCTGAACCAATTAAAGGCTCTGCTTCTAATGATAGTTTCTGGAGAACTGCAGAGGATAACTGAAGATCCAGGTATGTCTCTAAAGAATACAGTTTTAGGTGTTCAGCTGCTACAGAAATCGAGACCATAATTAATTTTTCTGCCCTTATAGGGAATTGTCCAAATTTAGAGGAATTAGCCTTGATTTACATTATATTCTGAGGTGTCACACTTTTTGCATTGATATACACAAAGAAAAAGTGCTAACCATAAATTTAACATTTTGTATAGGTAAACCACTACCACATTGTAAAACATTAATTTGCATTTATAAGTACTTTCTTTAGGATCAAAATATTAATTCAGATATAAAAGTTACAAAAAGTAAGCTTAATGTACTCAGGCATTAAAAAACTACTATTGAAGTGTTTAGATTTTTTTTTGCTTTTGAGTTTTTCTAAAATAATTTGTACTTAAAAATGCTGAGTTGCCCAGGCACACTTTTTCTGCCTATGCATTGCAAATCTGAAAGTATTAAACAATCACAGAAATTCAGTAATTCAAGCTTCAGTAATATTTATACCTGTTGGGGTTTATACCTTGGGGTTTGATCACACAGAATCAATTAGGTTGGAAAAGACCTCTGAGATCACATAGTCCAGCTCATGACTGAAGGAAACCACCTTGTCAACCAGACCATGGCATGAGTGCCACGTCCAGTCTTTCCTTAAACACCTCCAGGGACGGTGACCCACCACCTCCTTGGTCAGCCCATTCCAGTGTCTAATAACCCTTTCTGTGAAGAAATTCCTCCTAATGTCCAACTTAAACTTCCCCTGATGCAACTTAAGGCCATTTCTCCTTGCCCTATCAATTGTTACCTGGGAGAAGAGACCACCCCACCTGGCTCCACCCTCCTTTTGTACTGTTTTGTACTGTTCACAGCAGAACATTTATTTCCAAGTTATTTTTTTATTTATAACCTAGATCCCACAGTTCTACCTGCCGAAGATGACAGTGTGGCATATAACGAATTTCTAAAATGGAAGGAAAAGAAATTGCAAAATAATGACTTCGATTTAGATGCTGCACACAGTTTTTGCCAGTGGCAGTGCTGTCTTCAGATGGGATTGTATCTCAACCAGCTACTTGGTACTCCTCTCTATGAGCCAGACCTAAGTAGGTAAGGTTGTGTTCCAGAGATCTGCTTTCCACACAAGCCCATGAAGGGATGTGTTAACATGTTTCCATTTTCTCTGTCAAACTCCTTTGGCCAGTATTTACAGTAGAATACCCTTCTTTAAAGGAATTATTAAGAAAAATACTCTTAGTATAGGAGTTGACTGTTGGATGTTGTATGTTTTTGTCATCAAGCAGTATGTTTCTGTACCTGTCTTGTTGAGGTGCAATTCTAAATGCAGATTATCTCCTTTTGAGCAGGCTTTACACTGGGAACCTTGTGCACAGACTGTATCAAGAGCTTAAATCAGCACCTTCAGTGGAAAATCTGTTTATCTTATCTCCAAAAATGGCTCATCTTTATCTGGTTTTGTTAAATACAGTGGAGTCAGTGGTATCTCCAGACTTCTTTCAAAAGATGACCAAGACCAGATCAGAGTCCTGCAAAAAGAGGAAAGCATCAAATAAGAAAAAAACAGACATCCGATGTGCTGTGCGAGAAACTCAGCATTTATGCAGTGTTAATAGGTTTGCATCACTGGAAGTGGATGA